TCTTTGTTTCTTTTTTGTTTTAAGCCTCACATGAGGAAATTTTTTCCATTGCTTTTCAGAGAGAATGGGAGGGAGGGGGAGAGAGAGAGAGATAGAGAGAAACATAGATGTGAGAGGGACACATCAACTAGTTGCCTCCTGCATGTGACCCAACCATGCCCAGACTGGGTGAAGGGCGCAAACCTGGAACCAAGGAGCCCTTGATTGGGAATCGAACCCACCACCCTTTGGTGTGTGGGCCAACGCTCTAACCACTGAGCAACACCAGCCAGGGCAGAACTTAGTTTCTTTTTAGGAATATATTTTTGCTCTTAGATTCCATTTTTAACATCAAATGTTAAAAATGCTTGGAAGGGAGGGGGGGGATGTCCTCATACATACTCAAAAGGTACAGATGCATAGAACTACAAAATATTCTAAATACTCTAGGTTAGGCCAAAAAGAATCCAGGCTCAGGTTAGGAAATTTAATTCTTCCTGCAGGCATTTAGATAAGTGTCTTATTTATCTTAAGGCTAGCTTCCTCCTTTTACTTCCTCTTCCTAGTTTCCTTTCAACTTCCTTTTAAAGGAAGAACTTTAACTATTCTTATGTAGAGGCCCCAAAACAATGCAAATGTAAGTACACCACTAAATCATATCTATTAAACATCTTGGTTTAAAGAGCACTGAAGCACATGATTCAAGCACATGATTGTATACTGCTGAGAAAGTACCACCAAAAAACATGAACCAAAACGACATGAACCAAAAATATACTTTAGTTTTACAGAAGCACCTATTATAACTTAATTGCTTGGTGTCCGAAACCTAGTTTTCAAGTCCTGCTCAACCTTGGAACTTCCACAATTTTACTTTAAGTGACCATGGGGTATAATCCTGAGGGGGTAGATCTAGATGTGATTATAATCAAGTAATCAATTATACTGACCCCATCTAAAAAAAAAGGCTATGAGAACAGAAAAAGGATGTTCTATATAAAAGATAAGAAGGAGGTTCAAGAATGTAGCATTTGCCCTGGCAAGGTGTGTGCGAGAGGCAACTGACGGATGTTTCTCTCTCACATTGATGTTTCTGTTTTTCTCCATCCCTCCCTCCCTCTCCTTCCTCTCTCTCTAAAATCAATAAAAGCGTAAAAAAAATAAAAATTAAAGAATGCAGCATTTATTTTCCAGGGAAGAGAGAGACAATCTGGCAGACCTAAGTACGATATCTGCCAGGGAGATACCAAGTGTGAGGTGGGGATGACTGGCAAGGCTTCACCTTCTCAGAATGAAATATTTACCCAAACCATTCAAAATTTTGGCTCTGACTCCAAGTTTGTCTAGAAGCTTTCTGGTTCGGTTTTCAAATATTCTAATACCAGAAGTCAGATGTCACGGATAGAAAGCATAAGTACTCAGATCCCTGGAAAAGAATATTCCCCCACAGTAGATTAAAAGAATAGCATTCTTGTTTAAACAAAAGGCAATACAGTGTAATGGTTAAGTTCGCAATATTTGGAGGCATATGGTTTCAAATCCTGACTGTTGCTTACTTAATGTCTCTGTGATTCAGTTTTCTCATTAAATGAGAATATAATGCTTACTTCAAATGTTGTTATAAAGACTGGGTTAATTCATGCAAAGCATTTGGCTGTCATGTAGTGCTCAATAAAGTTATTATAATTTTTTCATAATAATTATTAAGCATCTATCATGAGTTTGATTTGGGAATGAAAATCCAAGCATGATCAACTCTAAAGAAATTGTGACTTTAGACTATCAAAGAAGTGCCACAATGTAAGGCTTCCATAGTCCTGCAAGAGTTTAACATGCATACAAGTGGGACAGGTGGCTTCAAAAGGCAGATAGCAGAAAAGTTGTCAAGGGCTTTGTATACTATACCAAAATGTTTTTATTTTATAAGCATCAAGGGGCCATCTAAAGGTAATCTCAATTGTCAAAACATTGTTAAAATAAATTTAAAACAAACTTTAAATCCAAGTTACAGAACTCACAAAATCAATGCGGGAATTCCAGAAAAATATAGTGATCAGTGATTTAAATATTTTAGTAGCAATACAACCTATATTAAAATCAAAACCAAAATATCAGTGAATTTAAATGAGTGCAAATAAAACACCCCTCCACCCCTAATATTACACAGTACATGCTGTTTCCTGACTCCACAATCCTCTTCCTCCAATTGTTGGAGGCACTGGACCATCAGTTTCAAGCCACTTCCCACAACAAAGAAAATACCAGTCCTTGTCATCCACCCCCTTGTCCATCTACAGACCCGGAAACAAAATATGGCACTGGAGTAAAAAGTTCAGCACTCTTGGATGCAAGCAACATCATATTATAAATACTAACTTATATATACATAATGTAGAGTACAAACACAGTTAAAAAATAGGTTTCCAGCATGGCCGGTGTGGCTCAGCAGTGGAGCACTGAACTATGATCCAGGACATGGAGGTTCCATTCCCAATCGGGGCACATGTGAGAGATTGTGGGCTCAATCCCCACCCTGTAGGGGGAGTGCAGGAGGCAGCTGATCAATGACTCTCATCACTGATGTTTCTATCTCTCTCTTTCCCTCTTCCTTCCTCTCTCTGAAATAATAAAGACATATTGAAAAAAAAAAAGGTTTCCAGAATGTTTAAGACATAGGAACCAAAGGAAGAAAAGAAAATGCCTTAATCAGAAGAAAGAAAAAAAAAGGCACCTGATTTCACAAAAATTTCAGAGAGTAAATACTCCTTTTTCCTTTTGCTATTCTAATCTACTTTCACTTGGTGAAACCAAGTAAATAAATTTACTAGAACTGTGTCATAATAGTGAAGGCAGTCATAGGGCTCACAGAATTTTGAAGTCCATTGGCCTTAGAGTTTCGGTAGTCCAATTTTCACTTTATTTTAAAAATGAATACATTAGCCCGGCCGGGTGGTGGCTCAGAGGTTGAACATCCACCTATGATCCAGGAGATCAAGGTTTGATTCCCCGTCAGGGCACATGCTGGGGTTTCGGGCTCGATCCCCAGTTGGGGGTGTACAGGAGGGAGCCAGTCAGTGATTCTCTCATCATTGATGTTTCTATCTCTCTCTCTCTCTCCCCCCTTCTCCCTTCCTCTCTCTGAAATCAATAAAGACATATTAAAAAAATAAGTAAAATAAATAAGTAAAATAAATAAATAAATAAATAAATAAAAATGAATACATTAGGACCTAAAGCTGTATTTTCCAAAGTACAGAGCAAGAACAAGCTATGGTTTTAGCTGTCACATAAGCAACAGTTATATATTTAAAATATTTATGTATTTACTATAATGTAAACTAGAAAAAGGTATAAAATACATCAAAACCATGATTTCACAGATTATCACTTTGGAAGAGGGTAATGTTTTTTTAAAAGTCCAATAAAAATAGCAAGTAAAATAATAACACAGATACTCCTTTTAAAAGGCAAATTTTAGGATGGTGGTATGTGGTTCAAGGTAAGTGAAGTATGGACAGCTGTCCCATGAGAAACTGGGTCTATTTTTTTATTTGTTTTGCTTGTTTGTTTTCTTTCTTCTTGGTTCAATGTTGTGTTCTGAATGATTAGAAAATATGTGATCTTTACTTGAGTTTGTTACTATGTTTAAGTTCATTTAGAGTAAAATCAACAAACACTAAGATACATACAGAAATTCTACTGTTTATAGGAAAGAGTGTACTATTGTTAAGAAAATAATGGCACAGTAAGTTATTCCTATTCCGAAATGAAGGTAACAGCAATTTTCTAGTGCATATCCAGATAAGCACCTAACAACAAATAAACAAAAAACACTCTAGAAACACTGATAAATAATCAAACTGTAGGTTAATTTATATGATCATTTTCTTTACTTTCTATAACCTGTCAAAGGTGCATGGTAATGGGAGAAAAGGTGTTTCTCCTCATACGTCCTAGTATTTACATAAATATGTTCTTTCTCATTACCTCTTGCCAAAAGAATGAATGACAAGTGATCACTGGATGCTTAGTAATCAATTTTGCTGGTGGCAGAAATATTACTTTTTAAAAATTTTAGCATGAGCTATTTTAAGATTAGATTCCAAAGTATTCTAGCTAATGATGTGTCATGAATTTCAAATGCGGTTATCGGGCTGGGCAAGAACGTGGGAGAACCATTTCTACCTGGGTATCTGCAGTATTTTACCAGGACATCGGAAAACCAGTCTTAAGGGCACCAGGACAGATGAAGTAATATCCTTCTTAATTCTTGGAATATCTGCTACTAAGAAGCTGCATTATTTTCACAAGTTTGAGGGAACACTGTCAGAAACTGCCAGTATCCAAACTCCCCTCACCCAGTCGCCCCCCCCGCCAAAAGAGATGACAAGTAGCAAAAGGCAAAATAATACTTCCTTCTCATCTTCTTTTCCCAACTTTAATGTCTTTCGCTTTCCTCTACCCTCAACTGCCTTTCCTAACACTGTAGTGACTAACGACAATAAAAAAAAAACGAAGTGAAAACAGCACTTTCCAGTACTTCCCCCCGACCCCCGCTACTCCAACCCCGAATTTCACAATTCGTTTTACCGATCCTTTTTTTTCCTGCGTCTGCGGTAAAGCCGCGAGGAAAGAATGGACTTTCTTAGAGAGCGCAGACCTCAGAAACTTCAAACAACTAGTTCAGAGTTGTCTGATCACTGTAACCACCAGATAGACTATTAACCCCTACCACAGCAACACTGTGGCGATGAGGGAATAGGGGTTTACCTGAGCCTGGTTCAAGGAAGGGTCCAGAAAACCACCTTCCGCCACCCTTCCTCCGCCAGCCCCTCGACAGTCTCTCAGCGCCTCACGTCCTCGCTCCGGGCCCAACTAGCCCAGTCCCGCTCAGGGCGTCCCCTCCTCCCCTAGAGCCCTACACCATCAACTTTTCAACCGTCACGATATACTTTTTCTTCTTGGGGCGATCCCAATCTTCACCCTGGCCAGCTCCCTTAGCCCTACTCCTGGAGACTCACCGAGCAGTTCCGGTCACTCCTCTCCGGCCCGGCAGCTCGGACACCGCCAGACCCAGCTAGGCGCTGCGCCCTTCTTGCGCATGCGCGCGCCGGAGTCGCACGCCTGCGCACTTTCCTGGCGCCTGGGCGCGGACACACCCCTGCAGTGGGAGCCAATCAGCGGGCCGCGGGTTTAAATATCCCTGCCACGCAAGCTAAGAGCTTGGGGACTCACCCGTTAACGGGTAATTGGAGTGCCGCTGGCAGGTGGGAAGTGTTCGTGCAGCAGACACTTAATGAGGGCAAGCCGTGTGCTGAGGAAAGGAGACGAATGGAATGCCTTCCCTGCCCTCCAGAGTCTTTTGATCTGTGTAGACTGAGAGATAGATATGTGAACAAATTATAGCGGACAGAATATAGTGCGTGGCATATAGAATATCTGAGACACCGTTGGCGCACAATAAACAAAGCGCCTTATTTTTAGGGGTGTCTGAAAGGGTTCCCGGAGGAAGTGACTTTTGAATCATTAAGGATAAGGAGTTCCTCCGGAAGTCAGGGAGGGGGGGAGATAGACAGACTTTTCCAGACTGTTCATTGGGACAGCTTATGCCAAGAATAACATAGCGCCTTCTGGAAATTCTTTGTAGTTCATCCTAGTTAGAGGCATAGAGCTCATCGTATATCTCCGGGTGAAAGGGGGAATAAATTTTAAATGTTGGCCAAGGCTAGATCTAGGAAGTTCTTGCATTTTTGGACTAGTGAGCCTGCACTTTATAGTATGCCCGCTGAGTGTTATTGAGGGTTTTAAAGCAGGTATGGGAATCCTTCCAAGCACCTCTAAGAATAAAGAACAGTGTTGGAAATTTTTAAAGAGGGGAGAGAGACAGATTCAAAGTAGTCTATTCCTAAGGGGTCAAGGAAGATGAAGTCTGAGAAACATCTTTTGAATTAGTAACACAGAGGTCAGTGGTGCTCTTAGTGCTATGTGATAAAAACAGTGAGGTTGAAAGATGGATTGCAGTAGTTTGGAGAGAGGGTAGATGCAGAAATGGGGGCAAGACATAGAATGTATTTGGAAAGTTTGGCCTTGAGAGGAGGAGGGAAAGAAGATGGCAAGAGGTCAAAGTTTTTTGTTTCTGTTTTTGTTTGTTGGAGCGTTGTCTGGTACACCAAAAAGTGGTGGGTTCCATTCCTGGTCAGGGCACATATCCAGGTTGAGGGTTTGATGCCCAGTTGGGGCACATATGGGAGGCAACAGATCAATGTTTCTTTCACATCGATGTTTCTTTCTCTCAAAAAAGCCAAAAAAACAACAATCAATAAAATAAAAGTAATTAAGCCCAGCTGGGCATGGTTCAGCGGTTGAGTGTCGACCTAGGATCTAGGAGATCGAAGTTTGATTCCCGGTAAGCGTACATGCCTGGGTTGCAGGCTTGATCCCCAGACAGGGGCGTGCAGGAGGCAGCTGATCAATGACGACTCTCTCATCATTGATGTTTCAACTCTCTCTCTCCCTCTCCCCCTCCCTGAAATAAAAAAAGATATATTTTTTAAAAATAATTAAAACAGATGAAACTTACACATGATAAGGACATAAAAGTGAGAAAGTACAGTTGAATAGAGAGGTGCTAGTCAGCTCTTCCTGAAAGCAGCCAGAGGTGCCCTCTGAAAATGGTTCGCTATTCACTTGACCCAAAAAAACCCACAAAATCATGCAAATCAAGAGGTTCAAATTTTCGTGTGCATTTTAAAAACACTGTGCCCTAGCTGGTTTGGCTCAGTGGTTAGAGTGTTGGCCCGCGGACTGAAGGGTTCCGATTTTGAGTCTGGCCAAGGGTATGTACCTCTGTTGCAGGCTCCATCCCTGGCGCTAGAGGGGGCATATGCAGGAGGCAACCAATTGATGTGTCTCTCTCACATCAATGTTTATCTCTCTCACTCTCTGAAAAGCAATGGAAAAAATATCCTCAGGTGAGGATTTTTTTGAAAAACCCACGAAAAACACTCGTGAAACTGCCCAGGCCATCAAGGGTATACATATTAGAAAAGCCACCAAGTATCTGAGGGATGTCACTTTACAGAAGCAATGTGTGCCATTCTGTTATTACAGAATGGTAAAGTTGGTAGGTGTGTCCAGGGGAAACAGTGGGGCAGGACACAGGATCAGTGGCCCAAAAAGAGTGCTCAATTTTTGCTGCACATGCTTAAAAATGCAGAGAGCAATGCTGAACTTAAGGGTTTAGATATAGATTCTCTGGTCATTGAGCACATCCAGGTGAACAAAGCCCCCAAGATGTGGCACAAAACTTTAGAGCTCATGGGTGGATTAACCATACATATGCTCTCCCTACCACATTGAGATGATCCTTCCTGAAAAAGAGCAGATTGTTCCTAAACCAGAAGAGGAGGTTGCATAGGAGAAAAAAGATATCCCAGCAGAAACTGAAGAAACAAAATTTTTGGCCTGGGAGTAAATTCAACATAAAATAAATACTAATAAAAGTAAAAAAGAGAGAGAGAAGTGCTAGTCAGTGGTAAAAGATCTTGAGATCGTAAGAGTAAAGGGAACTCAAAGCACTGATGGGAAGAATGTCTTGGAAGAGAGATAAGACATCTTTTTTTCCTAAGGAAAGTAAATATCTGTAAGTTTGTATGTTTTGTAACAGGAAGTTAAAGAAGTTCTCATTTGATGACCTCTGTTTTCTCTGTGAAACTGCTGATAGAAAATAGGTTGTGAATTTTAAGGAAAATAGAAAGATTTGGGATATTGTAGAAAGTGACAGAGCAAGTTGGCCAGATAAAAGTAATAGGTCTAGTAAGCAGTGTCGAGGACCTGTATACAATTAGTAAAAATGAACTTACCAGTTCTGCATTCCTGTGTGGATTTCTCAAGCAGTAATGATTTTTTGAGGGTAGAATTGGAGAAAATGTATGGTTGAGTTCATTTAGGGTTGGGATGGTCACTGGCATAATGCCATGGTTTTTAACCAGAAACATTTTTGCCTTTTAGCGGACATTTGGCAGTGTTTGGAGACATTTTTGATTGTTGAGATGATGGGGGTG